GGGGTCGATCCCAATGGGATTGGGATCATTCCATGGAATCCTGAGGGGGGTGGGATCGATCCTAATGGGATTGGGATCATTCCATGGAATCCTGAGGGGGGTGGGGTCGATCCCAATGGGATTGGGATCATTCCATGGAATCCTGAGGGGGCTGGGGTCGATCCCAATGGGATTGGGATCATTCCATGGAATCCTGAGGGGGGTGGGGTCGATCCCAATGGGATTGGGATCATTCCATGGAATCCGGAGGGGATGGGGTCGATTCCATAGGATGGGATCAGTCCCATGGGATTGGGATGATCCCAAGGGAATCTGGAGAGGTTGGGGTCAATCTATTGGGATTGGGATCATTCCATGGAATCCTGAGGGGGGTGGGGTCGATCCCAATGGGATTGGGTTGATCCCATGGGATTGGGATCGTCCCAAGGGAATCCGGATCCCATTCCATGGGGATCTGGAAGGGTTGGAGTTGATCCCAGTGGGATTGGGATCATTCCATGGAATCCTGAGGGGGCTGGGGTCAATCCCAATGGGATTGGGATCATTCCATGGAATCCTGAGGAGATGGGGTTGATCCCATGGGATTGGGATGATCCCAAGGGAATCCTGAGGGGTTGGGGCCGATCCCATGGGACTGGGATAGTTCCAAGGGAATTTGGAGGGGCTGGGGTCGATCCCATGGGATTGGGATCATTCCATGGAATCCTGAGGGGGGTGGGGTTGATCCCACGGGATTGGGATTATTCCATGGGAATCTGGATCCCATTCCATGGGGATCTGGAGGGGATGGGGTCGATCCCATAGGATGGGGTTGATCCCATCGGATTGGGACTATCCCAAGGGAATTTGGAGGGGATGGGGTTGATCCCATGGGATTGGGATCATTCCATGGAATCCTGAGGGGATGGGATTGATCCCATGGGATTGGGATCGTCCCAAGGGAATCTGGATCCCATTCCATGGGGATCTGGAGGGGATGGGGTCGATCCCATAGGATGGGGTCGATCCCATGGGATTGGGATGATCCCAGGGGAATCTGGAGGGGGTGGAGCTGATCCCACAGAGATTGGGATCATTCCAAGGGAATTTGGATCCCATTCCATGGGGATTTGGAAGGGTTTGGGGTCGATCCCATTGTGATTGGGATGATTCCATGGAATCCTGATGGGGTGGGGTTGATCCCATGGGATTGGGATCATCCCAGGGGAATCTGGAGGGGGTGGAGCTGATCCCACAGAGACTGGGATCGTCCCAAGGGAATGTGGATCCCATTCCATGGGGATCAGGGTGATCCAGAGGGGCTGGATTTGATCCCAGTGGGATTGGGATGACCCCAAGGGAATTTGGAGGGGTTGGGGTCGATCCCAATGGGATTGGGATCATCCCATGGGAATCTGGATCCCATTCCACGGGGATCAGGGTGATCCAGAGGGGTTGGGGTCAATCCCAACGGGATTGGGATCATCCCATGGGAATCTGGATCCCATTTTCCTTCCCTTTCCTTCTCCCCCTCGGCTCCAAGGGATGATTCCCAAATCCTTCCCTTCCCAAAATCCCTCCCCAAATTCCCAGAATGCCCAGAGTCCCAAATTCCCTAATTCCTTTCCCTTCCCAAATTCCCTTCCCAAATTCCTTCCCCAATTTCCCAAATTCTTTTCCCAAATTTTCAAATTCCCCAAATTCCTTCCCTTCCCAAATTCACAGATTCCCAGATTCCCAAGTTCTCTTCCCTTGGGAATCCTTCCATTCCAAAATTCCTTTGCCTTCCCAAATTCCCAGATTTCCAAATTCCTTTCCCAAATTCCCTTCTCTTCCCAAATTCTCTTCCCAGATTTTCAAATTCCCAAATTTCCAATTTCCCTTTCCTTCCCAAACTGCCTTCTCAAATTCTCTTCCCAAATTCCCCAAATTCCCTTCCTTCCTAAATTTCCGAATTCTCTTTCCTTCCCAAATTCCTTTCCCAAATTTCCTTCCCTTGGGAATTCCTTTC